TATTTGACTAAGACAGATTAATACAAACATAACCTTTATACCAAACCACAGATTAAAGGGTAAGACATTTCTTCACGAATATAAATAATTATCATTCGTCTTACTGTCTGGGTTTCAAGTTGGTAGGTAATGATCTAGCTAGACCTCTCGGGTTCGGTTTGCAAAATGAGTATTCCTCGTCAATGAAGATGTAAAAAATAGCTTAGATGTTTGCCTTGAGCTAAAACACAAATATTACATTATTACACATATTTATTTAAATTAGACACGTTCAGTTGGTCCCCAGTTAAGCGACAGAACTGTGGGCAGAAGATCGTTTGTGTTTTGATGCTACAAGGAATATTAATCTTACAAACTTTGTGAACTCGGTTGCTGCTTCACTGGCTTTAAGGATCATTAATGTTATATTTTACTTCACTAGAGAGAAGATAACATGTGTATTTACGGTTGAGGTTCGTCATGCTGATTATACTTAACAGTCGCCTCGCATAATAAATTGCACGATATAGTGATCTTCAAGCTGCCACCACAGGGAGTATGGTGATATTGATGGTAAGAGACGAGGAGAGTTTGACTAGTAGCGAGTGTCATGTGATAAGGAGGTGCTAGTGAGGGGGCGGGGTGAGAGGGGGGCAAAAGAATGTGGGGGGGGTGAGATAAGGGGCATGAACATGTGGGGGAGATATACAAGACCATGTGGGGGTGGGGTAGGGATAAGGGGCAAAAACATGTGGGGTGGGGGGTGAGATATAAGGGGCAGGAACATGTGGGTGGGGTGAGATACAGGCAAGGAAATATGTGGGGTGGGGGGGATGGGGGCAAGGAGAACATGTGGGGTGGGGGTGTGATATAAGGGCATGTGGGGGTGGGGGGTGAAAGGAAATGGGGGTGGGTGAGATAAGGCAGAACATGTGGGGGGGTGAGCAAGAACATATAAAAGTGGGGTGGGGTGAAGACATGGGGGCAAGGAACATGTGGGGTGGGGGTGGGGTAAGGGCACGGGAACATGTGGGGTGGGGTGAGATAAAGGGCAAGGAACATGTGGGGTGGGGGGGGATGGGTAAGGAACATGTGGGGGTGGGGTGTGGGGGCAAGAACATGGAAAGGGGCATGAACATGTGGGGTGGGGAGATAAGGGCAAGGAACATGGGGGTGGGGGTGAGGATATAAAGTGTGTGTGTAAAAGAACATGGGGTGGGGGGGGTGAGGGGGTGGGGGTAAGGGGGCAAGGAACATGTGGGGTGGGGGGGTGAGATAAGGATGGTGATATGGGGCAAGGAACATGTGGGGGTGGGGGAAGTAAGGGGTCATGTAACGTGGCAAGGCACATGGAGGGATGGTGAGAGTAAGGGGATCAAGGCACAGGGAGGGGGTGGGTGGGGGAGGAAGTGCTGTGTTGTCATCGCCCCCTACTGTCTCAGCCTCACCTTGACCTCTCATCCTTTACTCTCCCTCAGGGGCTGAAGACCAGTGAGAGAAAATATATAAACCCGAGATACTGTGAGTTGGAGGGTGGCAGAGAGAGAGGCAAGGTCATTTTTCTGGGACACTATAATTTATTGTGTATGGTGTTGAGTCTTGAGGCGCCAGGGTGATGTGACAGTTTCATCTCTCACGTACAACACCTGGACGAGGGTCAGGAGTGATCCATCAGGCTGGTTTTTATGCTCCGTTATAACTTGTGCTGATCACGTCTGTCTGTACTTCATTCAAGTTGTTTCAGACCAAAATATCATGAGTGGATCGACAGCTTGAAAATACAGCTTAATACCATTTATTTCACGACCAGTTTTATTCAATATTTGTCGGCTTTCTTACCCACAGTCGGCTTAAAAATTTTGAACACAGCATCACTTACTCGAACGGATTGACGGCTCGGAATAAAATCCAGTTTACAACGTTATATCAGTGACGTCTAGACCGTGTTGTACGATCACGTTTTCCGCTGGTATGTGCCACAGTTAGAGTCATTGTTATACTTGTGAACTGAGACAATGACAAGTAATTTCACAGACGGTGCACGAACACAAGAGGAATTTGGTGCACCACTGAATATCATTGGCTCAGTCGGGGAATCGGGAATTATCGGGTGTATTTGCAGTAGTTCTTGCCCGAGATTAACTTACCGATTTTTTTTTACAATGTCAGGTTCTCGTGAAGATTAGGCCCCCCTACCAGGTGTGGGTGGGAAGATGAGGTGTTAATATGTTAGTCAGGTGTGAGTGGGAGTTTCAGGTGTTAATCTGTGAGTCAGGTGTGAGCGGGAGGATCAAGTGTTAATTGTTTCCCCTGAGGCTTTGGCAGAATCTCATGGCATCTTCGCAATGTGTGTATGTATGTATGTATGTATGTATGTATGTATGTATGTATGTATGTAATGTATATGTATGTGTGAATCAACGAAATAACACACAATAAAATATCAGATTAAAAAAACTTATTATTTTGACATAACTTTTCTCCTTTCACGTAAAAAATGATGCTTGTTCAATAAAAAAAATCCCTCATGATACTTAATAATTATATTACACTAACGATTGTGATTTTATTTTTAATCTCAATGCCAAACTAATCCAGGTGTGGAAGAAGTGATGGGTGGACAATTAAGTGTTTGTGATCATCGCCTCAGTCTATGTGAATCTATTTTTGATGTACCGTATAGGTCTCGTTTTGTTTATTTGATTCTATTATTATTTTTATTCGAGTTATTATGAAGTGTGGGAGCCTCTTTATTTAGGATTCATTTACTCGATATGAAAAAAAAATAACGTTCGTATTTGATAATTTTATACTTTTGATAGATTATTTAATATGTATGTAAGGTATCGCATGTAATTATCACAGGTATTTTGTATTAACCGAAAGAAAACAACCAGGTATTATCCCCTGACTTTCACCCACGTCGGGAGAACATTACCTTGTTCAGTACATCCGGCAGGAAACAAGTCGGTGTGATCTGTGGAGTGATATAGCGGAGATAATGTGGCGTTTATGGGGTGTCTTTAACAACCAGCAACATCACAAACACCTAGGTGGTTAAAGATTGATATAATATGATTAATAATAGGATATTTTGTAGTACGGGAGTGTGTACATGTGGCAACAGGGGCGTGGTGTCAAGGTAAACATGGCCTCCTTCCCACATATAGCTCTCTGACGGCGGACGGGAAACAGCAGTCCTTTATATAATGTTGAAACTATAACTATTTTGTAATATTGTCAAGTGGATAGTCTTCTAAACATTAAGAAAAGTAAACACTCGTAAGCTAAATTTCAAATGTTGATTGTAAGGCCGCTTGGAATTTCTAGCCTCCAGAGTGCTGACGTGTCCTGGCTCCCCCCCCCTTGTATTTGTCACATTTACCAACAATATTCCTAATGTTCCTCTACTCGACATAGGATCATGTATTAGAGTAACATATTTATCACCACCACGCAGCAGCCAGTCAGGTGTGTTGTCATTTCTCGTTATCAACTCTCAGGATATGACGGATTACCTGGAGATTAGACACCCCAGTTTATTTCACTTTTAGATTAATCACCCTAACCCTACCTGTGTGAGGGGGGGGGGGTAAATAAGGTTGTGTTGGATTATCGGTAAGGTGGTTAATCTTAAGGTGGGATAGGGTGTCTAATCTTCAGGTGATCCAGTCAAGACAAAAAAAAAAGAATGTTGTCACGAGAATTGTCAAAACAACTATGGCAATGTCTAGCTTAAGCTGATCATTCTGAAATATTTATTAAGTGTTTTGTGAATATTGGTCACTTCACTGTCAATACTTTACGATATACAACATAAAATATCTGTATTAAACCACACTGTTCACACTTGTCAAAATGCAAAGCTCACACACCAAAGTTTAAAGACACTGAAAACTAGCTAGTGGACGTCTGAACGGTCTGGCGGTCTGGGAGTCTGATAATACCCTGATTCTGTTAACAGACGTCCACGACACGGATTGACAGCCGACTTTGTCTTAAATTAAATATATTAATAATTAGAATAAAAAGAATAAAACAACATTATTAATAAAATTATATAAAAGAATTAGTCAGTAAATTTTGTTATTTGAAAATGGCATAAAAAAAATTAACTATTAGACTGAAAATTTTATCCAAAAAGCAGCTTGTCAAAATTTCAGTCACATGTTGAGACATGAAGAAGACCCGTGCTTTTAGTCCTCAGAATGCGCCCTCAACCAGCTGCCCCTCCCGCCCCTCCCTAGCTACGGCACTGTTGTGCTGACACACGTACTGTATCTCTGGATCTGTGAACCCTTTTTGAGTGTGCCCTACAAACTAGCCCCTTGCGGGGCAAATCTGAAATCTGAATCTCTCTTAACGATGCCTTGTTTTGTGTGTGTGTGTGTGTGTGTGTGTGTACATCAATTTTTTTTTCAAATGTCAACAAAATCCATGCAGTTTTTAATGTTAACTTAAGCCAACAGTTCTCCACATCATACACTCTTCACTCTCCAGGAGGAACCTGTCACCAGTCAGACATGTGTCATCCAGTAACAATCTCGTGTTTACTCCAAGTATAAACTCACGACTTACACAGACATGTAAACATTTACCTTTGATTAACATGCAGTTATCAAACACCTGAGTGACGTTGATAAGTTCGATTTTAATGTTCACCCGTCGGCGTTGTTGTCCTGAGTCACTCACCATAATATAAGGATAAAGTTAGCTGTGGTTCTTCTCGACACCAGATGCCCGTAGTTAGGCTGCTACATAAGTCCTACATACACACACACACACACACACACACACACACCACAGCCCACACGTGGTAGTGCTGTGAACGGAGGTTATTATTGCCACCTATGCTACAGATAAGCACACAACTAACAACCGTACTGTTTGTGGTAACCTCACACCAACCACTCAGAAAGTGGCTTTGGCTGGTGATAAGAACACAACAAATGATAACATGCCAAGGACTCTTAACAGGTATTGTGAGTTTAAAATGTTACAAATAAATATTAATGCCTCACCATAGAATATCCGGTCGCCTCTGATGCCCACGATGCGGTGGGGACTGAGAAACTTGTCATTATTACCCATTATGAGTCACAGAGTCCTTAACATTATCTGACCTCACACCACTCTTCTACACTCTACTCGACAATCTGAAATATTTGACCTCTCACCACACTCCACACACAGATTTGACCACTCACTTTTTCCCACACCAGGGCCTCGTCTTGCCCTAGATGTTTGTCAGCACACACCTATTCATTTCCTTCTACAATTGTTGACATTCACATAAATGTTCACCAACGAGCGTCACACCCGAACGTAAGTTTTTGTCAACCACCAGATTGGTGACCTAAAGTAAACAAGGTCACATCCACAATTATTAAACCCATAGGTCACTCACGCAACGTTATTTCGGAGTAAATACTTTTATCTCGATCAGTGACACAGTGACAGCTGCCTCTTCCTGGAGAATGTTAAACAAATCTTCTGTGTGTCATTTATGGAGAACAACCAGATGTGATGGTGGCACTGTTTCCTCCCTTCATATGTGTGTTACTCTTCACACGCGGTCTGGCAGCGTCTTGGGTAGTCCTATTCTTGCCGCCAGAACTTTTGTTTACTTCGTTAGTTTTATACAGATTATGTCCGTAAACTAAAACTGTTCAATCTCTTGGTGTTATGTGAGGAAGTAGTTCAATAAAACACACAAGGCAGTCTCCTCTTTTCAGACAAGTTTTCGAAAACTTGAGGTAAAGTTCAGCTGTCTACATAATTTCCTGTATATAATTATATTCTATCATTATATACAAGACTTCAAACGTAAATATTAGATATACGAGATGCAGATGACTGAGGGCGACACAGCAGAGACTGCCATGATCAAGTCAACATGATTGAAGAGAAACGTTGTCAGCAATGATTTTTTCTTAAAATTTCTCCGTGAGAGCTGTCTAGATAACACCAGCTGTCAGAGTACATCTTCTGTAAGTCATCCACACGTTCAGTGCCAGCAGAGATGTTTGCTACAGCGTGTGTCTCACTTCTTCCTCAGATTTCTGCTTCAAACACCACTTCCAGTGTTCCTCACTACAGCTATGTACTGCCTCTCAGCACCAGCAAAAGACTAGTGGCTCGTCGTCTACTTATACCGCCCTCTCCCCCTCTTACGCGGGGGTCACCCCAAACTCCTAAAGCTTTGAGCGGCGCCAAGACAATAACATGCTGGGTCTGGGAGTCTCGTGGTGGCTTGGCACTGTCTTGGTGGTGTCCGAGGGCCTGGCGTACAACAGTACTGCAGGTGGGAGTGTATTGTTAGCTTCTTGTTCTTCGTCAGTGGCCACGTTGATTAATTCTATGAGCAGAGTGTGAATCTGTGTATTTATTTGTACCGCGATATATGTGTGTGTGTGTGTGTGTGTGTGTGTGTGTGTGTGTGTGTGTACAATCCCTTGAGGAGGCTACACACCCACAACACTGGTATACATACACTCCATCATTTTCTGTACATTATTCTTTGCCATGTCGCTGTTGACTTAAACTTACAAGAGGTCGTGTTGTATTCTCTATAATTCGTCTGAAAGTCTAAGAAAAAAGCCACAGTAGACACAGCGACGAATAATGAGCAGACAATAATGGAGTGCACATCATTATTGTAGATGTGTAACTTTCTCAGGAGACTGTGTACACACGAACACCAAGGAACTTTATAAACACCCAATAACAGTTGTGCGTTGAGTGACACCAAGGGAGAGCTGTCTCGCTCCCTGTGCTCACGTTGTCCCCCACAGCCACCCAACAAATCATGTACGTTGACGTCACTTGAAATTCGAGTGCATGTTTGTGTGTGTACGTATGTATGGAAGTCCTATAGTTACACAAAGACCAGAGCAGCCAAGTGGGTAACATTAGTAAATCTTCAGCAACACCACAGTGACCCGGCCTGTCACACTGAGTTACTGTTACAAAAGGGCACATAACTCATACGTGGGTCATGTCATTCATCTCTCTCACAAGATCTTGCAAAATGTCCTTTAGAAAGAACATTTATATTTAACTCAACACTACCAACAGCTGAAATTTAAGATCTCAAATTTTCGAACGTTGTTAAACCTGTCATAGATCTTTCATTATAATTTATTGTCATCTAAAAGTTTATAATTGATGATTCGTAATATTACATTCTTCCATTATAACATTGTTTTTATTGGAGAGCGTCTGCACTTTTGCTAATTAGCAAGTTTAAGATAGAACAAAGGTACTAGCTTCCTAACTCTTTATGTTTCCTTGTAATTTACGTAAAGAAAACCGGCTCGTCCTGTATTTAATTCATGAATAATGTGGAACTATTAGTTGGGTTCATTCTCCATTACACTCTTCCTCTCACTGTCCATTCCTCTTTAGTATCTCAAATTTTGCCCAAAAGGGAACACTTATTTTTCTCCTAGCAGCACCGTACACCCACTACCACCCCCAGCATGAAGTATAGCTCACCGAAGTAGAAGTTGTCTCCCTTGTGGCCTACACAACGGTAGACCGATGTAACCACCCTCGCCGCCCTCCTCCACCTTTTGGATGTCTCCCTTTTCTTTTTCATCAACATGTTTACGGCAGATCTTAATTCACTCATTCTCAAGACTAGAAAATCTTTGTCCAACCACAAGAAAGCTTAGCCTACAGTTGCTCAAGATGGTCGCCCGCACAGTAGCAGACTGAGTCAGCCACAAGATAAGTATTAATCCGTATGCTTTATACCATCACGTTGTAACTACCATCTCGGATGTAACACTCTATCCTTCATCGGTGGTATTCAGTACTTCGGTCCTTACACACGATACTGTGCCTGCGAGCCTCACCACAACGTTCACAAGACTGACTCCACATGTGTACTGGCCGCACTGGCGAGTCTTTCTCACCCTAACTAGGAAAGAATCTCTCAGCCTACCCACTCGGTGTAACTAATGTATGTGTAAATGTGATGCAGGTGACAACTACGATCCTTAAATGTTAAACTTAGTTGTCTTTGTGGCTTTGCAGTACAGCAGCGTCCCATCACCACATACTAATGGGTGAACACAGGTGACGCAATACTCGTATCTACAAAGCTTTATTATCTCAAACACGTACAAACACTCCCGGGGGACACTGTCGTCACGGGAACACCTCTGACGCTGACTTTACGAAATGTGTCATTTTGAATTAACCCAACTGAGACGAACATAGTGTGTAGTACGTCACGTAATACCACAAGTATACGTTATTATCACAATATAAGCTTCCTGCCCCCATGCCCACCTTACTCCCCCACTCTATTAAACACTGCAGGTTATCTAAGACAATACAGTATTACGGGTTACTTAAATATTATACACAAAAGTTTATTTCGCCAGATGAACAGACACTCTAATACTAACGTTCGGCCGGGTAATGTTGAGGTGAATTTTGAGGTGTTCCCTGTTATAATTAGCGCACAGGTATATAGATATAAATATTAGGAAAAATGTGGCAGTTTAATTGAGAACCAAACCACACCCTATTATGACTGTGTTGTAGGAACATTCTGACTACAACCTCTTATTTGGTGTTTCCTGTGGCCTGGGCCTCTTTTCTCTCTCTCTCTCTCTCTCATTGCTCCTGTGTGTGTGTGTGTGTGTGTGTGTGTGATCTCTCTCTCTCTCTCTCTGATGGTGAGTCACTTTACCCTCAATGTCACAACCACTCCAGTATCTTCTTATCACGTCAATACCAAGTTTGATCGATATTTCCTTATTATATCGATATGAAGATACTGTAATCATTCACTCTAATAAATCCACTTTTCTACCCTGGCTTTTGGTTAAGACTAATATAGATAAGCGAGACATTTTTATCGTCAACCAATTAACTAAGGATGATTACTTACCCCTTGGACGACTCCCATATTAACCTAACCTAGTCTGTACACCTTCACGCTGGAATCGTTTCGTCTAAGGCTTCCCGCGCACTTGCAATTCACAGATGGTTAATTTATTTCAGTTGTATAAATGGACTTCGTCGAAACAGCTTGTGTTTGTGCGTTGTTAATTCGTCAAAGGAAAAAGAAACGTAAAAAAACAGTACTGGATTCATCCAATTACAAGCCAACGTCTGACTAAAGAACACTTACAAATTGTTTGAAGATTTATGGGCCTACCCAAATAATTTTTTTAATTACTATAGAATGAACGTCAACAGTTTTGACGAACTCTTGTTACCTTGTTGGGCCACCAATAACATCAAAATACCAAATGGAGGAATAGCATCCCCGGAGGAAAGGCTATCTGTCACTTTAAGGTAAGAAAATAAGTGGTTCTTTTGTTATAATGAAGAGTTCGCCATCGGACTGAGGTGAGAGTTGGCTGACAGTTCGCTGCTAGTGCGCACGCACACGTTGAAACCTGCCTGCACAAGCAGTTGGTCAACTATTCCATTACGCACAAGTTGTAGCATGTCAACTTTTCAGCCGCCCAACTATTGAATTGCATGTGCGAGCGCTCCCATTTTGCTCAATGGTTCTCACCGATGCAGTTAAGTGTTGGCCGACTAAACTGTGGAGTTGTGGGGGGGTGGGTGGGTAATATAGATAGTCTCCGGACCTGTGGCTGCTCGTGGAGGTGTAAATTGCTGAACGAAAACTAAAGATAAACAAAAGTGAAAAGAGGAAAATAGAAGATAAGAAATTCAGCATAAATTGTTCTTTATATTTTCTCGTTTCAAAATTAGTCGTCTCATTTTTCCACTTGTAGGCGAAGAAGGAACACCACAGTCTAGACGACTGTGGTGTTCCTTTTTAACAAAAACTATAAAAAATATGCAACTAAATTCTGGTTATATATTTATCATTACTGTGTATCTGTTGTCTTGCCAGGCCTGCCAGAGTACAGTGAGAGATTGAAGAATTATTGCCACTCATAAAACACCCGAAAATTAAGCTTGTGTAGTCTAACATAACCAGTTAAAGAACTTGAATCTCTCTGTAAAGTGACATCTATTGACAACAAGATATTACGTATAAGAACATGTGGACACTACGACCATGTGTTTGGCTATAGGGATAAACTTGCTTTTAAAATGATCAATGTTGATTTTCCCGGAAGGTTAAATGATTTTCACATTCTTTATGTCGTGAATAACAATCATATCGTACTAACCTCTTTTCAAATGGACATCTGATGCCCACCGTCCATTTGCTGAGAAACATTATAATGCCATCCCCGGGACTTCCATTATAGCTGTGTGTGTGTGTGTGCATTTATCGAACATACATCGCACTGTTAATAAAAGGAGTTTAGAACAGTGATTTATTATTGGTTTAGGTGTAACTTTAGGATAAGGTATACATGAGGTAAATGCTCCCCCACCAATAATCACAAACAATAGTTCCTCTACCTTAGCTACAGACGCTAAGTTAAGTATATATAATAAAACGTTAGCTGAACTGTGACGTCATCTCTCTCTCTCTCTCTCTCCTATACTACCCTTAGGCTTTACCCTCTCCCTCCTCCCCTCTATTATTACCAGGTAAACAGTCTGGTCAGGGAGTTGTGGTCATAACAAACACGGAACCTGGAGTGTATTACCCACAACATGGCAGACAACTCTCTCTCCACTACCGTGTACAGTACAGTAGCCAGACACTGTTATACCATCATCGCTGAAGACAAATATTTTCAGTCACTTGTACCTGTAAGAGATCAAGTTAATAACTCTCCTCAGATATACCGGGAGTAAAACTTTTAGGCATAGCTTCAGTGAACAAGAGAAAGATGCTTATATGTTCATCTTTCCACAGAAATTTCAACTTATAATGAATTTGTCGTGAGGTGAAACGCGTTTAAATATCACATTTACTGAGGAAACCCGAAGTCTTCTTCGTTAACTGAACGTATAATTGGAAATTTATTTATTAAATATATTTCTTAGGAAACTTTAGTAAGGGACGTAAGTGCCAGCGATAGTTTAGGAAAGTGTTCTAGTTCCACTGAACCCACGTAAGAGCAGATATTTCACCTTAAACAATAAAATTAATACCGTATATTATGTATGATCGACGATTGATCGCATGTGACTTAGTTTTGTAATTTTAAACCCTGATACACTGTACTCTCTCCCTCTCTCTCTCTCACACACACACACACACACACACACACACACACACACACACACACATTGCTTACTTACTGCTTCAGGATGTCCGTCGTAGCCTACGACGACTCTACTTCATTATGAAATCGAT